TTCGCAAGAGAAATGTCTTTATTAGCATTTTCAATCTGTAAATGCCTAGCTTCATCAATGAGTTCGAGATCATGAGTGCGTAATTTCTGGATCTCAGTATTAGCCCCTCCCAGTTTTTTACCCACTTCTTTCTATCCCGATCCCATTGTTCTCCCTCCCAATTAATTTTTTTTTCTTGTTTTTCATACCTATCCCGCAATTTAGTATCATATGAGACTATCTTGGAAGAATCTTGGAGGGTGATATATAATTCTTTCTTAAGGTCAATCATATTATCCATATTAAATAAAGAGAATTATTATGAAAAATAACAAAATATAGAACATATATATGATAAAATATATGTTAGAGTCACTATTACCTTGTAATAACTCTTCAAGTCTAGCTCTGCTATAATTATTTGGTAATGCTATCAAAGAAATTACACTTCCAATATAATTCAACATAATAGATAATTACTGATTTTTTTAGAAAATTATTGAATATTAAATATGTAATTACCTATGATTACCGATCTTTTTTAACATAAGAGAAATAGAAGTATTTTAGCATTTTTAATAATTTTCGATAATTTTTTATAATTATAAAAAGAATGGAACACATAACTGTAGAATATTATTGTGCTGGTACTCCTTATTTATCACCAGAAGCTATTAAGAAAATCATTCAATCTTGAGAGATGGTTAAAAATGCATGCAGGGAAATGGCTTATAAATATAGTACTTCAACTTGTAGAATATATGAAATTTGAAAAAGACATGCTGAAGGAATATCTTTGCGCAAATAGCAACTAATACATAGTGTTGTTTCTTTGAAATAATATCTGAAAATAATACTTCGGATAAGAAGTCAAAGAAAAGAAAATCAAGATCTGGTACGGAGACTAGCTTTTCAGCTAATAAGGTTGGTATAACTAATATTCTGATAAAAAAAGTAAATGAAATAGATGACCTACGAGTTAAGCTTGCACAAAATCGTAAAGAAAGGGAAGAAGCTAAATGTGAGACGAAAAGGGTCTTAGATTCCAACTAATCTATTTTTGTTTTTTCTAAAGTAGTTTATAATCTATTATAGAGCAATGGCTCTTCGAGCCTACATACCGTTTTAATATCAGATTTGTTATAAGCCTGTAGTTTTTTATTAAGCTCGATTAATTCAGTATTGGATTCGAGTACCTCATATAGCGATTTTTCTAACTTCTCATAGCTCATGCGTTTTTTTTAGCACCTTTGGTGCTTGCTCTGCTAAAGTCGAATTGACAGAATCTAAGCTAAAATTCGCAGGAGCACACCACTCATCAAATAGTATACTGTCATCCTTATCCCTATCTATCTTCTGAGAAATTTGATCTGATATCGAAGGCTTACTATCTTGAACTACATTTGTGCAATTTACCTCAAGTTTATTCTTGACCTTATGCATAGTTACAGGAAAA